GGGGGGGGGGGGGGGGAAGGCAGCAAAGGAATGGCGAAAACCTAAATTTGGCCTAACCGCCGGGAATCAAAACATTCTAAGAACCACTGAACTAGCACCTTGAAGATCCGGTGCACGAGATATTACTGCTACTACTGAGTACTTTTGAAGCGATATCTCATTCATTTGTCAAAAGAAAGGGCAACATTGTGACGTTAATTTCTGCACAACACTGCGTGCTATTTTGTACAGGATTGGAGATAGAAATATGTTATTTTTGGACTGTCAGAAGAAGCTAAAACTGTTCACTGCGCTGGCCTTTGCGGAGAAATAAGATAAGACAAATTTGAATAAGACATGCTAGTCGTCGATGCCAAGCCGGACGACAGCACAGTGCGGACAAATGCGGACGCAAAAATTAGTGCGGACAAGGGGGTCAAAAATACAAACTGTCCGTACTAAATACGGACGTCTGGTAACCCTAAATGCATGTAGCTAACCATACACATTTTGACATGCACACTAATTTAGACTGTTTCGTTTTTCTACGGATTTTTCGAAAAGTGAGAAGACCGTTTCTCGACTCCGGACTCGAGGCTCACACTTCACTAGAACAAAGGTAGGGAATTTAAATATTTACTGAGCGCCCCTGTGGCCACGGCGCCCTGTGCGAGGGCACAGGTCGCACACCCTAAAGACCGGCGTTGGTAACATGATTGTAAAAAGACATTTTTTACTCTTTTTTGTTTGCTTGTCCGACTCATATCTGGGATAACTAAAACTTGTTGACGAGAGTTATTTCCTTTTAATTAAGAAGTAAACAACTTGTGATTCGCATTTATAATATGATTAATTTTGGAATGTGCCGATAATAACGTGGAATAAAATTGGGAAATGTGCTGCCCATTGTGTTGCCCATTGTGTTGCCCATTGTGTTTTAAATCAAATTAAATTACCAAAATCTTTAAATATTTATTAACAATGTGTGCAACATGATGCATCTAAAAGAGTGAGTAGACATGATGCCTCTAAAAGAGTAGAAATGATGCTTTCTAAAAGAGTGAGTAGACATGATGCATCTAAAAATGTGGGTAGACATGATGCTTCTAAAAGAGTGAGTAGACATGATGCCTCTAAAAGAGTGAGTAGACATGATGCCTCTAAAAGAGTGAGTAGACATGATGCCTCTAAAACAGTGAGTAGACATGATGCCTCTAAAAGAGTGAGTAGACATGATGCCTCTAAAAGAGTGAGTAGACATGATGCCTCTAAAAGAGTGAGTAGACATGATGCCTCTAAAAGAGTGAGTAGACATGATGCCTCTAAAAAAGTGAGTAGACATGATGCATCTAAAAGAGTGAGTCTCCTAGAAGCGTGAGGCCCTTGGCCAGTGGGGGAGAGGACAATATATTATTATATATAGGCTAAGCCCAATGTTCCCTTTAAGCTGCGCAGCAGTTTTGAGTATTGCGCAGCTAATTTCCACTTAAGTGAGTGTTTGTGTCTGTAGGCTGTAGGCTGTAGGCTGTAGGCTGTAGGCTGTCAATCTCGAGCAAAAAAAAATTTGATGCTGTAAAAATGTGCACACAACTGTATGATTTTGCACACGAACCAACAAACCTTAGAGGGAACATTGGCTAAGCCTCTTACTGTTGAATAATTCATTAATTACAATGAGTGACTTGGCCCACACCTACTGGTGACGGAAGGGCAGGGCAGGGTAGGACTGTCCAATGCCACCCCAGGAGGATTTTTGTACTTTATATTTAGGGGAGTCATTCTCATTTTGTGGCCAACTCCATTTTTCCCCCCGTTTGTAACGGAGCGGCTAAAATCTTTGCTCTCCGCGAGTGGCACTAGAGGCCGTCAATAAAGTAGGCTTACATTACGTCCCACTATTTACTGACAATTTTTGTTACCCCTCCCCAATCTGTCACTTAATCTTGGACTCCCCCCCCCCCCTAAAGTACGCCCGCTTTTTAAACTAAAATTTAATATAGTGAAATATAAATAAGATCTAATTTCTCTATTGAACTTACAAAAGTGACATCTTCTGTCAGAATCCATCCATCACAATGGAAATTCAAACAGCACTGTCGTTTTTTGGTTTTATGTCTATGATTAAAAAAAAAAAATGTGTGACGTCAAATTCGATCTTCGGTAAGAATGGAAAGACCTACATGTATTCGGAGAAATGAGTGGAGGAGGGAGATTGCCAATAAAAATTAACACAATTAGTGATTGCGAAATGTTCGTCTCTCATTCCTCGAAGAAAGTCTCAGATAGTGCCGTCACTGAAAATAAAATCTACGTTTTTAGACTAATAAATTTTAATTTAAATTAATGTCTTGAAATCTCAAAATCGTTTGATATGGAAAAAGACAAACGGTGAACAATGGGTTTTAAATGTTATAAAATATGAGGTGAGAGGGGTTTTCTTTTTATTGGAAATTTTTTCCCCACTTAAAATTAAATTTAATATTTTCAAGGGAAATCACAATTAATTGTCCGATTTCAATGAATCAGAGTCATGTCCCTTACCTAATGGTTTCTCCTTAGGTTTTAATGTCCGCAAAGGGTTGTAAATGCCCGGATAATTTCTTCGATAAAAAAGGTGGAAACCGTTGTTAAAGCTATTGTTTAAATAATTATAAGTTACATACATTGCATGTTTTGTTTGGCAGTGTATTTTTAAAATTATTTTTTTCCCAAATATTTATGTTTTAAAACATCTGAAGCAGATGAAACTCATGTCTTTGCTTCAAGTTGAGAGGTTTTTTTCTACGCTTTACACATACTCTAACCCTCGACTATTACCGCAAGAAACATTACCTCCCCTGCCCTTTGTATGGTTGTATTTATCAATAAAAGTATCAAACACGGACTCTTTGTGAATTTAGGAACGTAACTTAGATCTAAGTCAACATGACAAATATGGCATGAAAAACATCATCTAATGAAAAATTAAAGCTTATACGGGAGCTTTGCAACTTAGCGTATGTATTTTTGTGCATTATAATTTTAATTATTTAGCATTATCCCCTATTATTATTTAAATAAATAAGTCAAAATCAACCAAGGACCTCACTCTTAATATTTATATTTGACAGTTAGTAACTATGACTATAACTTAGTATAACTCTATAAACATGTAGCAATAGAGAATCAACGAAATTGGGCCACACTATAATTTTACAGTTAATCACCTTACTATTCTCAGCTATTCACAGATATTCTGAGATACTTCTTGATTTAGACAATTAAGTTAATTTAAGTCACCTGAGCCTGAATGAATTAATATTTTAATATTAATATGAATTGATTGAGTATTGACTAATACTAATGTGTTAATAAATCAATGTAATATATGGTGGTTCACTTATTTTTAAATAAATAAAAACAAAGGTTTTATATTTTATCTAATTCTATGAAATTACTATTAGTAATCATTAGGCCTACAATATGCTGATGCAAGCTAACTTTTAGTTTATAGTAATAATATTTTAATATTTTAAATATGACAAGACTGTCATCAATAATGAGGCCAACATATGGTAAAGGGGTCATCCATAAATGACTTTGCACAATTTTTGCCAGAATCTTTTACATTCTTCCACTCCTTCCATCATCACAAAGAGCTTGCCCTTCCTCAAATATAACATCACAAATCTCCAATAAAAATTCCTCCGCCCACTAATAAAAGAAAATTGGTCCTTTAGGAACCCTTAAAAAATTCACCTCCCCATGGATATCACAATACTGCACCTGTGTGAAATTTCCCTAGATCAGTGGTTCTTAACGTGGGGTGAAAGCACCCCCTGAGGTGCGGAAGACCGAGAAAATTGTATTAACTGCCTTGCTAGTTGTTGCTGCCTTAAAAAAATCAGTTTTCATGCACATTAATTAGCAGCAGTAATTGTTTTTCTGGTGAATTTTTTTTTAGCATTACTTGTATTGGTAATTTTGTTCTTCTTTATGAAAGTTAATTAGAGCAATAAAACTACAATAACTTAATTACTTATTTATTTTCATTTTGAACATTTTATTACAATTTAACTTATTCTGGTTGGGGGGGGGGGTGGGAGTGTTGCCGGAAATGTTTTGATATTGTGAGATGGGATGCAATGCTGAAAAAAGTTAAGAATCCCTGCCCTAGAAAATTTACTAACATCCCCCAACTGATAACCTTTTTTTTTTGTTCCATCTCACTTCATGTAGTAGCCCTAATTTTATGACTCCCATCTCCAAATTTCGGCCATAAATTCTCACGACTGTCAATGTCACTGCACCCTGATTCTCCTTCTCCGTGATGGCCTGTTACTTGATTAGAAGCCATTTTTTGGACAGCGCATTACTGTACTGATTCTCTCAATGATCGTATTATACAATAAAATAATATAATTGTTGTATGAAGGAATAATTTTAAAAAATGTCTTTAATTTAATGCGATTAGGTGAAATTTATATCAATAAGGCTTTGCTTAAAATGAGACGTCACATTGTTTTTATCCTCCCCTTCCCCCTCTTCACATATCACAAAAATGGGACCCCCCCACCATTCTAGACGCTTGACATCATTTATGGATGGCCCCATAGACATAGATTAAATATATTATAATTATAGTAATCACTGTAATGATCTGACTTATTTTATTATTAAAATTAAACTGCTACAGGCATCCAAGTTTCTGTAACTGCAGCTATATTTAACTTATAATTTCAAATTATAACATAGCAAAGTGCATTAAGTTATCTTAAAATCAAAGGATTATGTTCCCTAACCCTAGACATGTTAAAAGTTATATCTCCACAATTTTCTTCTCACCAGAGTTAATATTACAATGATGCAAGTAGACAGAGGCAAGACTATCCCAGAACAATCATATCTTTCTCTTAAAGATGTTAAGCCTGGCATGAAAAATCTTCACATAATATTTATTGTTCTCGAAGTTGGTAAGTCATTGTATTAGGTCAAAAGTTAACGGAAATCTAGAATTCTTGGAAATCTACTAGTTAAATTCACTTAGATATAAACCAAAACAAGAAAAGATAATTTACAAAATAATTTTCCCTTTTTGTATACAAAATAATTTTCTCTATTTGTACATCAGATTTCTCAATTTCCTTATATTGAAATTTTTTTCCCTTCACAACTAGGAAAACCTACACGTACAAAAGATGGCCACGATGTCAGGTCTTGTAAAGTGGCTGACAAGACGGGCTCAATGAATGTTTCCGTCTGGGATGAAGCTGGTCATGTCATACAGTCAGGAGATATTTGCAAATTTATGCGAGGGTACTTCTTGTAAATAATTGGCCTGAGATTTCTTACAATTAAAATACAAATAACAAAACTGTGTATGATTCACAGACTTATTTTAATGTTCAATTTTCATTTATACAAAGCTGCCGCTATACTCATAGTGAATAGTGTATGAGTCAGTTTGGCCAACTAAAGATTTTCTAATTTGAGTAGTACTTGTCAATTAAAATAACGCAGCAATAACCAATAATTTTATTCACTTTTTGTCTAAGTTAATTCTTATCTTTTAGTTTACAAAAAAAAGACTGCTTTTGTTCATTTTGTTTGAGTTGTCATCTTTAATTTTTATATTATTTTCAGTTATGCATCATTATGGAAGGGGTCCTTAACACTTTACACTGGAAAAATAGGCGAAATCTTAAAAATTGGAGAGTAAGTTATGTTAAAATGTTATTTCGTTCCATATATAACCATACCGGTATTTGAATTTTTGTTTTGATTGTTATTAACATATATAAAACCTAAACAAACATTAACATACCTAATGTGTAAATATTTTTTAAAAAAAATTAAAATAAGTTATTTTATTATTATATTTAATTATTTAATTTCACATATTCACTTCACAGATTTTGTTTCAATTTTATTGAAATACCCAATTTTAGTGAGCCAAATCCTGAATATCAAAAGCTGGTGAGTTCTTGCAGTAGTGAACATAAACACTTCGTAACGCACTAATTCCATCTTCAGCTTGCATTTCCCATAACTAGTTAGCACTTTTTAACTTTCTAATAATTAACTTAATTATTAAGTTTTCATATTGTATTTTCTGTTACTCAATTGCATCCACTTTAAGCGCAACAGACACTGTTTCCAATCTCAGGTATTTCATTGTGACTTTCACCCCTGTTTAATATGGGTGAAAAGTGTTGGCTAAAAATTGCAAGGCATTTGCAATATAATTTGTTGAAAGTTGAATAACGTGTCCATAATAAGCTAAGTTTTCACAGTTACTAACCCAAGTATATTTCCAGGAAACACAACCTTTGATAGAAGTTATCTGAAGAATTTAAACTATATAAAGAATGTTATAGCTGTGAATAAAGTCACAAGCATGTTGTATTTTGTGACCAGTTAGTGCCAGTAACTGCAACAAAATAAACTTGTAAATTTATTTATTTTCATAGGAATCAAGCCAAAGAAAATCTCCCACAGAAAGTGACCTTAACACAAGTCAAAAAGGGGAAGGTCAGACCGGTCCAGGGTTACAAGGTTCAAATGTCAGAGCTCAGCTAGCCCCTGTAAATCAAGGTAATTGCGTTAAAGGTTAAAGTGACTGGGATTTTGAAATGGCTTGATATGAGATTTTAAATAAAGTTTATGATAAAATATAATTTTTAAAAATAAAATGTGCCAAAGGCTTTGAGAGGATCTTGTCTTTTTTTTCCCAGTTATATGCGCAGTATATTAGGTTTTATGTGAATTATATCCATAGTGCTTAAAGACGACTTCCCGTTGTTGCATTATATTCACAGCACTTGGTTACACATTCTCTGCTTAGTGACGACTTCCCTTCTTGAATAATATTCTTAACACTTGATGATGATTTCTCCTTATTGCATAATATTCATAGAACTTAGTGACAGCTTAGAGTTAGAGCTCTGGGTAAAAAGACCCTGTTCCAGAGCTTCGAGCTCCAAACTAAAATGCAGTAATGGGGCATTCTGTTGCCATGCTTCCCTAAGGTTACTGAATACAGATGGCATTATGGCTTAACATTATCAGTAAATTATGTCCATTTAAATTATTTTCATTGATGGAGATACATGATAAATATTATCATTGAAAGGCATTGATTTTATTTTACAGGGAATGGTCAAAATTATAATCAGCGTCCTCCACCATCACGTCAAGGGATGGGGGGACCACCCCAGCGCAACATCATGAATGGCAACAACACCAACAACAGCATCACTGCTTCCGGTGCGGGTAGGGGAGGAAGAGGTGGCATTAGGAGATAACATTTTAACATTTATTTTTTTAAATTTCATGTTTCACAATTGCATTGGGTTCTTGTAAAAGTTCTGTCAAGCTGTTTTGAAGTTGAAGTGTTCTAAAAAGTGCATCTTTTTCTGTAGGGATTGAGTTCTATTTTGAAACAAGCTCAGTGTGAATGTGTCGTCCCATTACATTAGTGCAGTGACATTTGGCTGCTGTAATACAGTAATTGGGCTCAATAAAATCAAATCTTGTTAATAGCATGGTCTTTTTATTGGTGTTTTTGTTTTTTTCCCATAATTCCATTGGATTAAGTTTATTTCTCATTTAGCTGAAGGGGCTTTGATATTTTGTCCTCTGTGCCAACAATAACATAGCCTGCGGGAGCAGTTAAGAAATATGTTAAATAACTAACAAAGCATCTGCTTTTAGGATATAACTTGAGTTCGCTAATGAAAAATGTTAATGGATAAATTTTAAAAAAAAATCAAATTTACCTTAAAGTGATTTAGCATAATTAAGATTTAGATTTCTAAAGTTTTCAGTTTTTCAAAGAAACGATCATTATTCATGTTTACCTATGCTATTTATTTTTAAAACCCATTATAATAAATAGGACACTTGTAACTTACAATAGCTTTACAAAAGATGAATTGAAAAAAATCGTTTGTGCTTGCTGTCATCATGGTGTAAATATAAATATATTGCTGTTACTCTTACCAGGTTTAGCTGCTCATCATGCATTCATCCTTGTTTCTTTTTTTGAAAAAAATAAAGTGTTCCAAAACTCAACAGTTAACATAATGGCATCACATTATTGTGACAATGAGACTTGCCTTGTGTGTGTTGGTATGGCATTTACAGACCAAGCCGAATGTAAAAACATAACTTACTCTCATTATTTTTTTATCTGAGTATGGAAATAAAGTTGGCTGTTGTTTCAGTACTGCTAGGTTTGGGCAGTGTTCATTGGTCGGTGGTTTGTCTACCTGATGAGTTGGCTGTTGTTTCAGTACTGCTAGGTTTGGGCAGTGCTCATTGGTCCGTGGTTTGTCTACCTGATGAGTTGGCTGTTGTTTCAGTACAGCTAGGTTTGTTTAGTGTTCATTGGTCCGTGCTTTGTCTACCTGATGAGTTGGCTGTTGTTTCAGTACTGCTAGGTTTGGGCAGTGCTCATTGGTCCGTGCTTTGTCTACCTGATGAGTTGGCTGTTGTTTCAGTACAGCTAGGTTTGTTTAGTATTCATTGGTCCGTGCTTTGTCTACCTGATGAGTTGGCTGTTGTTTCAGTACTGCTAGGTTTGGGCAGTGCTCATTTGTTCCGTGCTTTGTCTACCTGATGAGTTGGCTGTTGTTTCAGTACTGCTAGGTTTGGGCAGTGCTCATTGGTCCGTGCTTTGTCTACCTGATGAGTTGGCTGTTGTTTCAGTACTGCTAGGTTTGGGCAGTGCTCATTGATCCGTGCTTTGTCTACCTGATGAGTTGGCTGTTGTTTCAGTACTGCTAGGTTTGGGCAGTGCTCATTGATCCGTGCTTTGTCTACCTGATGAGTTGGCTGTTGTTTCAGTACTGCTAGGTTTGTTTAGTGTTCATTGGTCTGTGCTTTGTCTACCTGATGAGTTGGCTGTTGTTTCAGTACTGCTAGGTTTGGGCAGTGCTCATTGTTCCGTGCTTTGTCTACCTGATGAGTTGGCTGTTGTTTCAGTACTGCTAGGTTTGGGCAGTGCTCATTGATCCGTGCTTTGTCTACCTGATGAGTTGGCTGTTGTTTCAGTACTGCTAGGTTTGGGCAGTGCTTAAAGATGTTTGAACGTTGCTCTTTTTTTTTTTTTTTTTTTTTGTTTTTTTTTTTTTTTTTTTTGGTACTTATTTTTCAAAGACATGTCCATGTTGTTATAAATACAATAATATGATAATGATACTACTGCCATGCTCTGAATGTACCAGCTGGAATAATTCCATAATATAATAATGAAATTTAGTTTTTTTAATAAATTATTTTTTCTGCCAAGTCATTGTCAACTTTTAAAACAACTAATTAGTTTAAAAAGGATTTCCCAAAAAATTTGAGTAGTAATCTTTTAGTTTTATCTTTTACTTTTACATGAATAAATTAATTATTCAATTATTATTAATTGAGCTTAAAATAATTAAAATAAATTGGAACGGAACAAATCAACTTGGTGGCTTCAGATGATAATTTCTTTCGTACTGAAATGAACTTTTAAATTTTTTTATAAAAAATAGAAAAGTAAGATAGTATTTAATTCCCTTAAAAAGAGAAAAACCCCAGGGCTGATTGCTGATAGAAATATTTGATTGTGTTTGGTTTTTTGTGCATCCAAAAATTGTTGCTGTAATAAAAATTGTTGCCACCCAAAAGGTTTATTTGCATGAATCTATTGATGTCTTTCTTTGATGTTCAACCATTTAACGGGTCTAACCTACAGAAACATGGAGCTGAAATTATGTTTTTTGTTTCCATTCTGGGTTTCCTTAGTTTTAGCTTGTAGACCCAACATTAAACTACTGACTTGGTCACCCAAGTCAAATTGACTAGATATAAGAATGTTGGACTGCGATAAAGCCTTAAAGTAGATTAATTATACACAAATAATATGTGTAAATAAAAAATATATGTTCAGCTGTAATAATGATTTTACAAGAAGCAAAACATTTATTTAAGTAAAATGTAATGAAGGCATTGGCTGCAACGTCCACATTTGTATTTTGTAAAATCATCATTAAGGCTGAACATATATTGTTTGATCTACAAATATTGTTTGTGTCTAATTCATCAAATTTACTAGATCCTCTTGCACAGATAAAATGGCGGAAAAAAGATAGATTTCTCTGATCATAAAAGAGTTTATTCGTAGTTTTAATAATATGTAAGATTAAGATAACAAGAAAAATCTTTTAAAAGAATTTTACTTTAATTAGCAACGTTCAATAAAATTATAAATGGCAATGCTGATGACATCATAAATGAAGATAGCATTCATCGCTTGTAAGAAATCAGACATGTTTGACATAAACATTCAGCATCATCATTTCATCATCATAAGTGTTCAGTTTCTTAAAATCAACAGATATTCACATGAAAAGCACTCAGGTCAGAAAAAAAGTTTTTATATGATACAAATGACATTAAGGAAAGTCATTAAGTGAACATAAAATCTAATTTTTTCCATGGCCGTGACAGCTTTTCTGATATCAATTTAAACCAATGAATGGTCCACGCACATTTTAAACTGCACACCAAATCAAAGGGCTAAGAATAGAGCCTTCTACCTGCCTGAAAATAACATATATCAACTTATAATGAATTATCATTAAACTGATGTGAATGAATTATTCCGACTGGCGCCTAGTCTTCAAAATTTCCTTGAGCTTATTTATAACACGCCTGTAGAGCCTGCAAATCATGTAAAGGAATTTTAGAAGACCTAACTAATACTGTGATAATGTGAAGAAATTATGTTTCAAAGGGCAAAGCTTATCAATATTATAATAATTGTGAAAAGAAAGTTTCTTATTAATCTCTTAGATCCATTGCCAAGCTCAGAAATTAAAAAAAAAAAAGTTTCTCCATTTACAAAGAAGACCCCCTATGATCTTTAGTAATATCATTCCTTAATATGTCACATCTAAACATTGCTTGTCTGACCATGTCACTGTATACACAATTTCATCTCAAGTGTTTGGCTGACATTTTCACTTTATAATACACAATTTCATCTCAACCCATACAATTCAGGAGATAAACTTAAGCAGATTCAATTTCTAGACCAGCGGTTCCCAACGTTTTTTCTCTCCTGTATACCTTGATTAGACATTTCATATGTGAGTAACCCCTGGGTACCCCCCCCCCCCCCCCCCCAATATCCCCTTTCTCTTACATGCACTCCTCCCTTTAAAAAGTATTAAAAATAGAATAGCTAACTAATAAATGAAGCAGATAAGCTAATGAAACTTATTGGTTTTTATTTGATAGTTTACAAGTCATTTCACCTTTTTTTTTAAAAACAAATAACTTAGAATGAATCTCAAAAATAAACATTACAAATAATATTTGGCCATAAAAGGTTAAACCATCAACACAAACTATCAACATCAGACTTTAAATTATACAACAATATGATGTTCTCATTATAATTTTGTTAGAAAAATATTTTTGTCCATAAAATTTGTCACTAATACTCTGCTAGATATTGAAATATAGCCTCTCATAAAATTAACCATTTTTGTGCAAAGTTCCAGAATTATCAATATAATTTTTGTGTACCCCAAGTGGTCTGCCACACACCCCAAAGGTACAGGTAACACGAGTTGAGAACCGCTGTTCTAGACATTTAATCCAAGAGTACTTATTCAAATGGCCTAATAATAAGAATTAATCCAACAGTAGTTTTTAAAATAGCTTAATATTAAGAACAGGCATATTATACTTGACTGTCCTTGCCACATAGACAAAGAAAAACTTATCAATGTTTGATATTATTAAGTCATCAACATTTGGTAGGCTTAACAACACATCACACTTCATTTTTTAAAATAGAAAATGACAATATGTTAAGTTTAAAAAATGTAGTACGAATCATATATAAACAATCTTCCAAGAAAGGTTAAGTGACCTTAAGTAGGACATCAAGTGTAGCTTTAATAAGGGAACAAAGTTATTTACATAAATTAAACATTGAGATAACATTCACTACACAAGAAATAGTTGAGGACAACTCCACACTCTCTCAAGATTATCACATGTAAACATCTCACAAAAATGAAACACCCTGAAGAACAAGCGCATGTGGAGGACGATGTAACATCACAAAGCAAGCATAGGCTTAGAGTAGGTTGAAAGAAGTCGCGCTGTCTATAATTTAAATTGCTAAAGCTACTCGAGATGAAAAGTACATGAGTAAATTAAACATAATAGTAGACATTAAGATTTTTAAAATAAACTCTGAATTATATTTATTAACATTTGGAACTAAAACTTTATTTGTGTGGGGTAAAAGATTGGAACATGTGGGAAATTTAAATCTTTTTTCACTTTAAAATAAGCCACAGGTTACGCCCCCTTTGTTTTAAAGAGTTCATTCTTTAAAGAGTTCATTTGTACCAAAATTAATTAAACATTTTTTATTCCGGAGTATATGATTTTGAACAAGTAGTGTGTAAATAAATCTTAGACATCAAGAATTTGGCATGGTTTCCCAAATCAATGGGCTTTTATATTAAAGTTCAGCCCAGGCAAAGAGCTGAAATCCTAAGGGGTGCCTGTTGGTATGTCATATCTGTGTAGTCTCTTTCCACTATTCCTCCCTTGAAAACAGTCATATTAAAGTCATTAATAAACCTCAAGTAAACCTTGGTATGTCCAGGTTGCCTTCCAAAATACTTTGCAATTTTTTAAAGAATACAAGAGGTAAAAATAAAAATTAAAGCTTGAAACAAAAACAGATTGAAAAACAAAATAAACAATGTACCTAGCCAGAGGTTTAATTCCAGAATATGAAATATTGAGTCTATCGCATTTGCAGTGCATGTCCTGCAGTTGTCAAACATCAGGCATTTACATAATAAACACTACTCCATCATGATTAATTGTGCAAAAGGCTTAGCAGAATACACTTTTCTTATCAACAGGAAAGTGTAAGTTTAAGGACTAAAATCTGATATCTTCTACATTGTTTTTTTAAAAAGCAAGATGGCAAACACGTAAGTGGCAAACACGTAAGACACTGATATTATGTGATTCACTGTTTCTGTACATGATTTAGTTATTTACACATAAATTAACAAATTACATTTTTTTGAAAAAAAAATATCCTTATTTACAGTAAATGCATCTGTAGACAAAGAAACAGAAGGAACATTGAGTACACATTTTAATGTACTATTGAGACAAGTGAGCAGAAGAAAGGATTCCGTTGAGAAAACTGCGACCCATGCAGATTCTTAGTGGAGTTATTAATGACTTACACACTTGTTAGTATATTTAACATGTATATGTTAACAGTGCCATGTGACTCATGTCATGATTCCTCTCTAAAAAATACTTATAATTAAATTTATAAGAGATTGGCTTATTAAATTTCTCAAACTTAACTCTTTTTTTTTTTTTTTTTTCAAGGTCTGTTTGGAAGTTTTATTTTCCTTTATATGCTGGTCGTCGATATTCCACAAAATTTAAGTCTTTGAATTTGTCAAAATAAATGCTGAGGAAGGCCTAAATATTCATATGTTATGCTAAATATTCAGTCATATGTAATGTTGAATATCCAATCACAACACACTGAATATCCAATCGTATGGCATGCTGAATATCCAATCACGACACACTCAATATCCAATCTTATTGTTTTGACTTGATTAC